GAAGATGGGGAATGTGCGCAGATCAACGGCAGTTTTGAGCTGGGGAAGGAAGGAAAGAGCAATGTTGACCATCGTAAGGCCTTTTGGAGGGATGCCCAAAGACAACCTGCAAAAGGTTCTTTAAAAAAAGGGAGAAGAGAACAACGGAAGGGGAGGAGCTCGGAAAAAAGGAGGAGAAAGAGGAGGCGGTGGAGTTTTAAAAGTGAGAGGAGAGAACGGACAGCAAAAAAAGAAGAGGAGAGTTTTGGAAAGAGTTTTGGGGGAGAAGTAGGAAGAGACCAAGAGAGTTCGGGGGAAAACTTGAGAGCGGAGGGTCCCCATCCGCCTGAAGGAGACCCTGAGGTGCCGCCAATGAGCCTCCGACCGCCGCGTTGCCACCGACCAGCTGCGAGCAGGTGAGATCCTCGCACTTCCCCTGTTTCTTCCCTGCCTCTCGGGTGTCGGGCGCACCGAGTCCATTTGGTGATCGCCCGACCCCGTCGACGGAGGCTAACACTTGTTTGACACTGCATGAGCCCAACTTGAGCGTTGTATGTCGAAAAATGGGCATCAATCTTGTTAAAGTCGGCTCTGTAGCTCCCTTTTCTAAGCGCCTAGCACCTGTTTGTTAAAATGCCTCAATGAAGCCCCTCAAACTTGAAATGCCAGATCTGTGTGTATGATTGTGTAGCATTCTATTGCAAACCGTGACCACTGTGATTGTCTAAAGCTTCACCCATCACGTTTGAGCCAAGGAACACCTTGAATCTCGGCCTAAAGCCTTCGCTTGAACTCGTATACCACCCGTTCGATAAAATGACAAAGTGTGGTCCGAAGCTGAGAAAACATGAAATCAGTCCGTAGAACCTTCGATTTGCGTTCTGTTTGTCTTAAGACTAATGTTGGGTGACTGACTTTGCGACTTCGTGTGATTTTGTGGCATGAAAATCGTTTCCCCGACGTCGGTCATGGCCATGGACGAGCACATGAGTTGGAGTTGCTGTTCGTTCCCGGCGACGCCTTAGTTTGGAGCCCCACCGTGTTAGTTTTATACGCTTTACTTTCTGCGTGTATGCTTGTGTGTTCAGACTTAGCGTCTATTGTTGGGGTCGAATGTTGGATTGTCGGAAAGTGCGGAGATATGCTCGTTTTCAGCCACCGGTGTTGTCGCCGGAGTGTCGGCCGGCGATGACGGCATAAGGCCGGCGCCGGTCGTCGGCGCTGACGGCCCGAGCCGACGGCCGGCGGTGGGCGTCCCCTGGCGTAGTCACGGTGGAAGTTCGCGTGCGAGGGAAGCTCTCGGAAGAAGTCCCAGCAAAGGAGGGGACATTATGGAAGAAGATCACGTGCATGGGCAAAAAGGCATGCAGGGATGAAGAAGAGTAATGAAAAATAGAAAAAAGAAAAAGAAAAAAGGAAAACCAAAAGAAAAGAATAAAAAATATGAAAAGAAATGAAAATGGGGTCCCGGGTAGGGTCGGAACTTCGGGTCAGGTGTCGGGCGGATCGGGTCAGGGGATCCGGTCCGAATCCTTATTTTATTAATAAAAACATTAAAAAAATATTTAAAAATATTAAAAATTCCAAAAAAATTCGAAAATGTTTAAAAAACCCAAAAATCTAAAAAACATTAAAAAATTCAGAAAATTCAAAAACATTAAAAAATTCGAAAAAAAAAATCAGAAAATTAGGAAATGTTTAGAAATCAGTTTTGGGCTTAATTTTACTAGATTTTAGGTTAAAAAACTCAAAACAAAAAAATGAAAAAATGAGAAAAAACCCTCTAAAAAATTCTCAAAAATCAGATAAGCCATGAGGGCTTTACTTTAGGGTTTTTGATTGCCTTTTCTTTTTTAGAGACGATGCTAGGTCGCTGGTTGCTTGTTTTCTTTGTGATTATTTGGTTGCGCACCTTTAATTTATTGGTTGTTATTTTCTATTTTTAGCATGGTTAGACGGAATCTTAGCTTTTTCGATAGGCTGCCTGGTACGTTAATTCGCAAGTAATCAAGTTTAGGTACCGAAAGGGCACTAGTAGATCGCTAGTGTAATCAAGTCCCCGTACCCATTGAATCTCTGGTTCGTAGAAGTGAAGCATTTCTCCCGTGTTTCACTTGGGTGTCTAATCGACCCACCAAAAACTGATTAGTGGCGACTCCTAGGTGAAATTGATTTCCATGTTAATAAATTCAACTTAAGTCGCGAATTGGTATGAGCTTGGGAGAGCTCGAGCTAGGTTTAACCTAGTAATCCATTAGCCAAACCACCTTAGGCGGCGGGGCCGGTTCGGGGAGGTCGCGACACCTCTCCACCTTCTGAACGAATCAGGACGCTTGCGCTTAGAGCTCGAAGGACCTTGTGAGCTAGAACCTGCATAGTAAATGTCAATTACCGGCTTATCCGCCAGGAGGCGGTCCTCCTCTAGCTCTAAGTGGCGCACTGCATCTTCAAAGGTTTTGATGTTCTCATTGTGAGTTAGGTGCAACTTCATATGCTCCCAACTTTGAGGCAAAGAACGAATCACTGCTTGCACTTGCTGCTCATCAGTTAGAACATGGCCAGCATCCTTCAACTCATTAATCATGTTTGACATTTTCCTTCAATGTTGTTTCATGGACTGACCATGTGGCTTCTTATATGAGTCAAATCTTATAGTGAGCTGTCTAAGCTTGATTACAGATGTATGACCAAACCTTGCTGCCAATGCTCCCCACATCTCCTTAGCATTTTCAAAACGCCTAAACTCTCGCATGACATCATTTTCCATGCTACTCAGCAACGTGATGCGAGCAAGGGAGTTCTTCTTTTTCCATACAGCAAATGCATCCTTATCTCTCTTATGTTGTGCAGTGTTTCCGTCTTCAGGCTCTACCATAACCAGGTTAAGAGCTTCAAGAGCCCCTTGCTCTTCCAGCACATATTGGATTTTCATATGCCAAATTTCATAATTATCACCGTTAAGTTTCTCTCCTTTGTTCAGTTCAGCAACTATTTTCTTTTATGCTGAAGCCATGGTATCTGAACATTTCAGATATATACGCACGAATTATTAATGCCACTCATTTATGCATCAATTTTACACAAACTGATTATATTAATGAATAATTTCACATAGGCTTTAGATTCGAAAGTTCACTATGTTCCCAATCATCATCAAAAATCCTAATGTGAAATTACCATTAATGTAATCATTAAGGTAAAATTACGTTCTTTAAAGTTACTAAAACTTTTAGAACTCCCACTCAACCACCTTATTCTAATAAGACAGATATCATAATAAAATAGTACCATAAACTATTCACGATAATAAATATCCATCAACATTCAATCACTAAGTACTATTTACATTAGGAACGAAACTAGCATAGAAAAGAAACATGAACATCAACGTAAACAGAAATATCCACTTAGGATATCTTAAACCGAACTAAAATAACATAGAAGTTAACGATTCCTAACTATCCTAAGAATTAGGAAAAGACTTAAGAAAAACTTCATTGTCAAAACCCTTTGAAAGATCGACGGTCGTATCAGGTAGCCATGAAAAGACCGTCGGAAATCCCTTGGGTTTTCCCCATGGCGCATTTATTTTGCGCCAGAATGAGTTCATCCCAAGAGTTGACGTCTTCTTCGCCCCAATCCTTATGAATTCCTTTAGAAAATCCAGAACAAACTGTTTGTATTCTGGAATCCATGGATCACTCCCGTCATCCCATCCACCATCCTCAAAAAATATTATCTCTGGACCTTTCCACAAATCATCAATCAGCATTTTCCACTCATACGGAAGAGTGGTTCTTAGGGCATCAATCTTTTCTGAATCCAACATATGGTATCCATTCGAGATGATATCCCGTATTATCTTGTTAACCTTCATAATGTGCATTTCCATGTGACATCCATCCCACCGATAGGCAGCTAAATCAACTTTTAACTCCGCAAGAGTATTCATTTGTTCATCCATCCTCACGACTATCGGTGTGTGTCAATGGTACGCCTTTGTTCCTGCAACAAATGCAGAACAATAATGGATTAACATATAATCTATTGAACATCACAATAGACATTCCAATATGCACATGTTGCCACCGAAAAAACGCTCCAATTCAAGCTTCCACGCAACTTTTTTTTTTTTTTTGGTGGTCAACGATGGTCAACGCAGTCAAAGCCGGTCAACGACGGTCAACGGTCAACAGATGACCGGGTCAAGTCAACGGGTCACATGGGTCGGATCAGGCTTCCGGGCCGGGTCCAAATCAACCGGCGTGGCTGACATCAGCGTGACGTCAGCCACGCCAGACGCACACGTAGGGCGCGTGCGTTGCACGTGTGCGCGGCAACCGCTGCGCACGTGCAACGCACGTGCCGGCGCAGCCGCAAGCGGTTGCGCGTGGAGGCGCGTCTGGCCTCCCCCGGCGGCGTGCCACCCGTCGTTTTGCTCGTCTCGACGAGCACTACGACCCTACACTTTCAAAAAATAATTTTGACGCACGGAAATCAAGAAACGACCTCGAATAGTACGGCCGGGTGTCGGTTTTTCGTACCCGAGCGTTCGTCGGCTCCGTTTCACGAATTCCGGCCAATACTCCGTGTTATAAGCATATTAAACGATCAGGAAACAAGAACACATTGCTCTGATACCAATGTTAGAAACATGTTCCTAAAACATAATACAAAAATTACGGAAAAACGTGCCCATTCTATACTTGAATCACTGATCGTTCGAAGTATATCACGTAAACGAACATACCTCTTTGCCACAGATTAAATGCACTTATCGCAATTTCGAGAGAGAGAACAATCCTTAGATTGTTGAACAAAGTTCCTTCTTCTTTGTCCTTTTGTTAGAATGAGTTTTTTCTGATGATTAAAATGCAACCCACACACACATTCTTACGTGTGTTCTCGCTTTTTGTTTCTAGACAATAACTGCCAAGTGCAGTTATTTTCTTTCATGGGATGGGATAGCCCATCATGGGCGGCCCATCTTCACAAAGAAAATCCATCAAGTTGAGTTGAGCATCATTGACCAATTTTCCCCAATGATCCATCTCTTCACCATGCAGCAAACATGTGGATGCATGATAAATATATTGCACACAACAAACAAGTAGATCGGTTAACATAACCCGGCAGCAAAGAGCAACATAATATGATCTCAATGAAAAGGTCCATATCTGCGAAAGTTTTGGCCCGATAGAAGAGCAGCATTGCCCAGTGAAACAATTTCTGCTAGTTTCAGAATCTCACTGTCATTTGACAAAGAAACGAAATTGCATGCTGCCAAGAAATACTGAAATGCCAAAACCTCTGAAGCGATCTTGGATTTATCTGACAGTTTCGCTTTCCATTCTCTCGCCTGCTTCATTGCTCCTTCTTTAACCTCATGAGTTATTAAAGGCGAAATTCTCACTAGCTGCTCTAACAGAACAATTTCACTCCTCAAAACGTCCGTCTCCAATTTCATATCCTTACTGTTCGAGTATTGAGTATGAGACCCCGCAAAAACATCCGGAATAAGTTTTGCAGGGTCGGATGAGTTTTGTAGTGTATGTGAGATTTCTTTACATATCATAGCATTCTCATTCAAAAGCTCGGTTTGAAAAAGCTAAGAATCTTTTCTAGCTGAGACAGTTGGTAGTGGTGGATTAACAACAAAAGAACCATCTGCATTGTGCACAGCACAATGGGTGAATGATTTTAAAGGTGAAATTTAACTATAAATTTAAAAGGGAATTTGTATTAAGTTACAGATCAGACACTTAAAATTTATTAAATATAAATAAACAAGTGTCCAGTCAATGATTTTAAATGTGATTTGGTGAAACATTAAACCTAAAGCAGAAAGTAGGCATTATCATCCCCTCGATTTTCCATTGGATCAAATCAATAATTGGTGCGGCATCTGCAATGTGTATAAGGAAAAAATATGGGATTACCTCATCTCTCACAAGTCAACATACAGAGCAATCACCATTTTTCAACACTTTGTTTGCATAAAGAGACAAACATTAAAGCGGCATGAATAAGATTGCAAAAACCAAGCATAATATGATAAACAAACTGGCTTACCAGATTCAACATTTCAAGTCAATAGTTGCGCCTCCGCTTAACAGGTCGCACTGCTGAAGAACCAAGGTCCTGGTGCAATTCCTGTGCTTTCTGAAACTGTGACACAAAATTGGCAAGATCTTGAATTTCATTTGCATTGAAGGCAGAAGCTAGCTGATATGCCTCTAAAAGATTCAGAAAACCCAAGACTTCCAAATGATGCTCCGGTGATGGTGATGGTGAAAGTTTCAGCTTCCCCTTCCATTCAACAGCCAGTTTCATCGCAGCTACCCTCTGCTGAGGCTTCATCTTCGCTGAAAACTGCATTAAAATCTCCAAGAGGAAGATACAGCTCCTTCTAATCACCCCAATATCTGTTAACCCATCTCTGTTCCCTGAATTCTGGGGGTAAAATCCCTCCATAGCATCTAAGACCAACTTTGCAGCGTCAGCAGATTTTTCAATAATTTCCAGCACCTCGTGACACACTCTATCGCGCTCCTGAAAATGTCGATAGAGGAACATCTGCAGATCCTTTCCATCAAAAGCAAATGTGGGTTGAGAATTTAGACGTGAAGCCAGAACAGATCCATTTGTTAATGGGCGTTTCCAATTTTGAGCCATTACTCCAGAATGGACTCTAATCCTCTCTCTCGACTCCATTTCCCTAGAGCACCCCTCAATTGACTTTCCAATCGAATAAAGCCGTTGCCGGCCCAATTCGAGCTCCATACATTGCACATCACATTCTTCCTTTTGCATCTCAAATATCCGAGAGCATTCTCCAATCGACATGTTAAGCATATAAAGTTGCTCTTCTTTACGTTCAAGATCTGCCAAGCATTCTCTGCTCCTCCACTGAATGGAATCCAACTGCCTCGTTTTAAATTCAAGGTCTTGAGAGCATTCTGTGATGGATTTTTGCATCGAATCACATTGCTTCTTTTTGGACACATACTCTTGCTCTTTCAATCGAAGTTGCTCTGCACATTGTGTAATATTAATTTGGATGGACTCTAGCTCTCTCTTTTTCGATGCAAGTTCCAGATTGTGGTCATCGATGGATGATTGGACAGAATCCAATTCCCTACTTTTCAACTCAAGAGACTTGGAAACCTCTTCCAATTTTGACTCGACTGACCCAACTTTCTTCTCCTTCAAGTCCAATTCCTGTCGCAGCACCTCCATTTCCTCCTTCTTCAAATCACAATCCCCGCGACATTCCTCAGCGGCCTGTATCAGAGATCGCAGCTCCTCCTCCTTGTCCCTGATCAGCGAGTCACACTCGCCAAGCGCGCCTCGCTTCAGAGCCAGTTCACTCTCCTCCTTCCTACGCTCATCCCTGCACTCCTCGAGCCGCTCCTCCACCGCCCTCAGGCCCGCCTCCTTCCTCCGGGCCTCCTCCTCCTCGCGCTCCTCGGCCCTCCGCCGCGCCGACCGCAGCCCGTCCTCCCGCTCCGCGAGCGACCTCTCGCCCTCGCGGAGCTCCTCGGCGCGGCGCTCGAGGGACGCCCGGATGCCGTCGAACCGCTCCTCCAGGTCCTGCCACTGGAGCGTGAACACGAGGACCGAGGACGCCTGGGACTGCGCCTGCTCGTACGCCCTGAAGAGGGTCTCCTTCTGCAGCCCCGCCCGCTTCAGCTCGCCGGAGAATTCCTCCATCGGAGAACCGACACACCACGACCGACACCCCAAGGCACCCAACACAAACCCACCGAAAAAAACGAAAGACCCACCTGCGGACAGGAACGTGGGGAGCCACAGGACGAGGATGGAGGACGAACCTGGGGGATTGGCGCGAGAGCTAAGCCGCCACTGAGGAAATCCAGTGTGAGAGAGAGAACGAACGAGAGCGTATGTGTGTTTTTCTTGGCGGCGAAGGAAGAGAGACGAAGGGAATACGTACTTTTTGGATCACATACTTTTCTTACCTTTGATTTTTTAACGCCCGATTTCCTTAATAAGCACCAGCACCAACTTATGGATAGTTTTTTTTTTCCTTTCAACTTTGCCCTCGTTAAACTATCTGAATTCCAAGTCTGCCCTCGCGGGCGGTGCCGGGATCTCCGTCTCCGATCGAGCGAGAACTCTTGCCGGAAAATTTCCCGGCCAGAACCTTTGAAACCTAAGCGGTGGCGGCGGCTCCGAGCGGTGGTGATGCCGTACCCGGGGGGGCTCGCGCGGCTCCATCGACCTAAGCCGGTCTCTGGCAAACTGAGCTCGCTTGAGCTGCGTCGCCCAATCGGTTCGACAACTGCGGGGTCCTATTGCATAGGGGTCACACGACCCTGGGCGGAGTGTTGCTTGGGTTCTCGAGGCCGGCGTTAACGTGAGGACCACGTGCAAGCTAGATCGTGCTTTGCGTCGCGTTGCTTAGGTCCTCAACGCCAGCATCGACACGAGGACCATAGGCGAACTAGATCGCTTGCGTCACTTTGCATAGTCGTGTAGTCCCAACATTGCGCTGTCTGGTGTCGCGCAACCTCTGCAGCACATCATCTAGGGTCGCGCGACGTCTGCACCGGTGCTATTGTTGTGCCACTCCTATGAACTTTCATCCGCAACTATAAATTCCTCCGTTCTCTCTTGAATGCTTTGCAATATAATATTTCACAAGGTATTTACCAAACACTACTCATTTTTCACGAAATTTTTTTTGAGTCAATCGTGAATAGGGGTCGGATCTTGATAACCATTTCATTGAGTTCTAGTGTTGCAAGTAGATTTGAAACAGACTCCTTTACTTACTTTTGTTTTTCCCATCAATTGTGACGACATATGCTTCAGCGTAGCTCAGACTCAACACGTTATTCACTGCGCCACAAACCATAGTGCGCGGCCCCATCACTAACATGGTAAATTGCTTGATGAAGTGAGTTTAGACGGATGTAGTTCAAAGCATTAAAGATTGGGTCGAGTTCTTCAACGATTTGAGCAATAAGCTCAGGTTTGGAAATCATGTAAGATTTGTCTCGCTCGCGTCACATTGCCTAGGTCGTTGACAGCATTGCCTAGGTCCTCGACAGCCGGCGTTGGCTCTAGGGCCACAGGTGATATATCACCTGTGTCAAGTTGCCTAGTCGTGCGGCCCCAACGTTGCGCCACCAGGGGTTGTGCAACGTCGGGAACACGTCACCTAGGGTCGCGCGACGTCGTCACTGGTGCTATTACCGTGCTGCCCGTCCAAACTTTCAATTGCAATTGCAAATTCCCCCGTTCCCCCCTTTTTTAAAATTTTAAAAATTGCTTTGAAATAAAGTATTTTACAAGGTGTTTACCAAACACTAGCTATTTTTCTTGAAAATTCTTTGAGTCAATTTCCTATACTTAAATGCAAAGTCCTAAAGCTAAAGCGTTGCCAAACTCACCCAAAAATAGTATATGACATCAATGCATTGAAAATGATGTGTTTTCGAAATGATGTCGCATTTCTGATGGCAGCAAGGTTTGTTGAGACATAGTACATTCAATAGTTCAGAAAGTTCTTATTCGAGTCTAAACTTACTTGCGTAGGGTCCATGTGATAATGGATTGATCACGCGGGGTTTATGTGAGATCCATAGGTTCCGAAAGTCGTGATTACGGGTCGGATACAGATAAATTGTTTATCGAAATCTAATGGTATAAGAACATCTGAAATAGACTCCTTTACTTACTTTTTTTCTTAAGGTCAATTCTAAGGACAGATACTGTAGCATAGCTTGGACTTACACATAATTCACAGTGCGTCGAACCATAGTGCGCGGCCCCATCACTTGGATAGTAAATTGCTTGATGACGTGAGTTCAGACTGATGTAGTTCAAAGCATTAAAGATTGGGTCGAGTTCTTCAACGATTTGAGTAATAAGCTCAGGTTTGGAAATCATATAAGATTTGTCTCGCTCGCGTCACATTGCCCAGGTCCTCGACGCCGGCATCGGCTCTAGGGCCTCAAGTGAATTCTATGTCACCTGTGTCAAGTGGCCTAGTCGTGCAGCCCCAACATTGCGCCACCTGGGGTTGTGCAACATTGGGAACATGTCACCTAGGGTCGCACGACGTCATCACAGATGCTATTGCCATGCTGCCCGGCCCAACTTTCATTTGCAACTGCAAATTCCTCCGCTCTCTTTTTTAAAAATTATTAAATATTGCTTTGAAATAAAGTATTCTACAAGGTGTTTACCAAACACTAGTTATTTTTCTTGAAAATTCTTTGAGTCAATTTTCCTTTACTTAAATGCAAAGTCCTAGAGCTGAAGCGTTGCCAAACTCGCCCAAAATAGCATATGACATCAATGCATTGCAAATGATGTGTTTTTGAAATGATGTCCCATTTTTCCTCATTTCTGATGGCAGCAAGGGTTGTCGAGACATGGTACATTCAAGAGCTCAGAAAGTTCTTATTCGAGTCTAAACTTTCTGTACCATGACTAGGATAATTGTAAATTACTGATCTCTTTCTTCTGGGCCAATGAAAATGAAAGGCAATTATACTTCTGCAAATCACATGTGGCTTTTCACTTCGGATAGGAATATGATCAAGGAGAGGATGCTGCGCTGATCTCATCGTCGGTACTTCTTTACAGGCCTTCCTATATGTGCAGATAGAGATTATATTCCATTCCTCTCGCATAATATCATGGGATGATCCAAAATTCCAACCCAGCTTCGAAAGAGTACTTACTTGCATAGGGTCCATGTGACAATGGATTTATCACGTGGGGTTTATGCGAGATCCACGGGGTCCAAAAGTCGTGATTACGGGTCGGATACAGATAAACTTTTCATTGAATTCTAATGGTACAAGCACGTCTGAAATCGACTCCTTTACTTACTTTTCTTCTTAAGGTCAATAGCTTGGACTTACACATAATTCACTGCGCGTCGAACCATAGTGCACGGCCCCATCATTTAAATAGTAAATTGATTGATAAAGTGTGTTTAGATTGAAGCAGGCCATCGCAATAAACATTGTGTCAAGTTCTTCAAGGATTTGAACAATAAGCTCAGGTTTGGAAATTATATAAGATTTGTCTGGCAATGCCAGGTGTATGAGTTAGCCACAGAAATAGCTCCGGCCTACTTTCAGAAGAGAATACCTTAGTCCTAAAGAGGATTACATGGGACGTCCCTGATTGTTCATCTTGTATTTACACTTACCTGCATGGGCTTGGGATTGCACATCAATTGCTGGGTCCCCAGAGGAACGCTTCTTCAATCTGGGCGGTTGCTGATGGACTCTGGAGAGAGAAGCAGGTACGCTAGCTGGTGCGCTGAAATACATTAATAAAAAAAATTACGCAAGAAGGTTCAGGGGATAGTAAAACAGGGCTTGCTTGTTATCCCCAGGCCATCAAGAAACACTATGCATCACCCAGCAAACATATGAATGTTCCAACATGATTTTCTACAGGCTCAATGATCTCGAAGTTTGCAGCGCTCGAGAGAGCAACCCACCTTGAAAAAGCAGACTATCTACAATATAACATCAGAACATGCTAAGAGCAAACAGCTAGACTTAAAGTGAAGATTGGGTCCTATCAACGGGTTTCAATATCCCATGCTCTTATCCAATGCAACAACAGCACCACAACGGAAAACAGTAAAACTGCTATTTGGCTATCTGAAATAGAATGTACCACTTCCAGGATGATCATATGTACATCTTATATTGCCATGCGCCAGCAAATTATCTATATGGCCTGTTAAAATAAGGTCACGTGATATTCACAACATTTTCAGTACATAGAAGAAAGCAACAGGATAAAAGGGAATGGTGAGTCTATGATAGCAATACATGTATACATTCCACAGAGCAAGGTCTCTCTACATTAAACCTTTTTCAAACTAAACTAATATTCTAAATCCACATGGAAAATTGAGTTCAAAAATCTTAGAGATCTTCAGCTGTGCGACAATCGTGCAAGGCACATAGCGTCAGGTTCGATTTCAGGCCATATGGATCCAAGTTATAAACCAACTATTTTAGATGGGTAGAGTTGACCATTATTGACCCATTTTCCCCAATGATCCATCTCTTCACTATGCAGCAAACGTTTGGATGCATGACAAATATATTGCACACAACAAACAAATAGATTGGTTAACATAAATCGCAAGCAAAGAGCAACATAATATGATCTCAATGACAAGGTCCATATCTGTGAAGGTTCTGGGTTGTCATCATCTTGTAAGCAAGCACATGCCAAAACCGTAGCATCACCATTTCTCTTCAAAAGCCAATAAAGGAAAGAGTTGCAATTTAGAGTCAGAGAGAAAAAATTGATACTCAGAACATTTACCTGTAATCTCATTGACAAGACCAAGGCTCTGGTCCAACAGAGGAGCGTCATTGTTCGGTGAAACAATTTCCGCTAGTTTTAGAATCTCACTCTCATTTAACAAAGAAACCAAATTGTATGCTGCCAAGAAATGCTGAAATGCCAAAACCTCCAGACCGCTCTTGGGTTTATCTGACAGTTTCACTTTCCATTCTCTCGCCAGCTTCATTGCTCCTTCTTGAACCTCATCAGTTATTAAAGGGGGAATTCTCACTAGCTGCTCTAACAGAACAATTTGACTCCTCAAAACGTCTGTCTCCAAATTCATATCCTTACTGTCTGAGTATTGAGTATAAGACCCCGCAAAAACATCAAGAACAAGTTTTGCAGGGTCAGATGAGTTTTGCAATTTATGTGAGATTTGTTCACATATCATAGTAATCTCACTCAAAAGCTCGGTTTGAAAATGCTGCAAGTCTTTTCTCACTGAGACAGTTGGTAGTGGTGGATTAACAACAGAAGAATCGTCTGCATTGTGCACAGCAAAATTTTCTGGTTCCTCGGTCTTTTTTTGCCAATGTTGAATAGATCCAAAAGAACCTGTCAAACACAAGTCAGCAATTAAGAATCCGAACCGCCTTTATCAAGATGACAGCACAAAACGTGGTTTGCCATGAGGACTTCGAAATGACCACGAGATGAAAATCTTAACCTAAGGTAAGTCCAACATTGAAAGAGAGGACATAATTGATCTCAATTCTCAAATGCACAGCAAGCATCATCAAAGCAAGTCAAAAAGTTTCAGCTTCCCAGTTAAATATCTTCGGAGAAATGTTTGTGAGCTCCAACCATAGAGCTTGACCTACTGGATGTAACCTTCGAAGAAGCAATATATATATATATATATATATATATATATATATATATATATATATCTCCTGAGCATAATGTCTGAACTCATATAAATTGATTTGGCATTTCAATCTAAAAGATAGAAAAGAAGGGGTTAAAGAGGTAACTTAATGGATCTATTTTGTCAACTTTGGAATATATTCCAAATGAGACAAGCTTAGTTTGATCAAATTATACATGAGTTAGAACACCCAGCAAATTATCAGATACATAAATTTTTTTTGTGCTCTTTAGTCAAAAGGGTGAATGATTTCAAAGGTGAAATTGAATTATAAATTTAAAAGGGAATTTGTATTAATTTGCAGATCGGATATTTAAAATTTACAAAATATAACATAAACAAGACTACAGTCAATGATATTAAATTTGATTTGGTGAAAGGTTGAACCTAAAGCAGAAAGTAGTCATTAGCATCCCCAAGATTTTTCATTGGATCAAACAATAATCGGTGAAGTATCTGCAATGTATAAACGGAAAAAAACATGGGATTACCTCATCTCTCACAAGTCAACATATAGAGCCCTCACCACGTTTAAAGACTTTGTTTGCATAAAGAGACAAACATTAAAGTGGCATGAATAAAATTGCAAAACCAGGCATAATATAATAAAGAAACTGGCAACCAGATTCAACATTTCAAGTCAATAGCTTCACTAAAAAAAAAAGGTCAATAGCTGTGTCTCTGCTTACCAGGCAGCACTGCTGAAGAACTAAGGACCTGCAATTCCTGTGCTATTTGAAACTGTGACATAGAATTGACAAGATCGTGAATTTCATTTGCATTGAAGGAAGAAGCTAGCTTATATGCCTCTAAAAGCTTCAAAAAACCCAAGACCTCCAAAGGATGCTCCAGTGATGGCGAAAATTTCAGCTTCCCTTTCCATTCAACGGCCAGTTTCATTGCAGCTTCCTTCTGCTGAGGCTTAATCTCTGCTGAGGATCGTATTAAATTCTCCAACAGGAAGATACAACTCCTTCTAATCATCCCAATATCTAGGAAGCCATCTCTATTTCCTGAATCTTGGGGGTAAAACCCTTCCATGGCATCTAATACCAACGTTGCAGCATTAGCTGATGTTTGAATAATCTCCAGCAACTTATGGCACACTCTATTAAGCTCCCAAAAATGTCGATAGATGAACATCTGCATTTGCTTTCCATCATGAGCAATTGTGGATTGAGAATTTAGACATGAAGCTAGAGCAGGTCCATATGGGCATTTCCAATTTTGCGGCATTACCCCAGGATGGCCACTAGTCTTCTCTCTCAACTCCATTTCCCTGGAGCGCTTCCCAATTGACGTTTCAATGGACTCCAGTTCCCTATCCTTCAAAGCAAGTGCCGTGAAGCGCTCATTGATCAACCTGTTGATTTCCTCAAACTCCTTCCTTTTGGATTTGACCTCCTCTTTGTGCTCTTCGATTAGTATATCCAAAGAATGGAGTTGACACTCTTTTGATTCAAGGTCCTTGGATCGCTTTTCGATGGATTTACAAATTCCTCTGAATTCCTCCTCCTTCAATTTGAGTTCAACATGACAGTCCTTTATCTTATCTTTGAGAGACTGCAATTCTCCGGCTTTCATGGCGACCTCCTCATCGCGCTCTTTGATGGTGCGCTCCAGAACCCTCAGCCTCTTCTCATTCTCTTCATGAGCCTCCAAACTGTGGTCGAGCCGACGATGCACCACACTCAATTCCTCCCTTTTCATTTGAACCGCCCTAGAGCACTCGTCAAGAGAACGTTTCACCGAACCCAACTCCTCCACTTTTACATCAAGTTCCCGAGCATTTTCCTCGAGCAAACTCTGCACCACCCTGACTTTCTTCTCCTTCGAGTCCAATTCATGTCGCAGTTTCTCCACCTCCTCCTCCGTCGATTCATAATCCCTGCGACATTCCTCAGTCGCCTGCATGAGAGAACGCAGCTCCTTCTCCTTGTCCCTGATCAGCGAGTCACACTCGCTAAGCACCTCTCGCTTCAGAACCAATCCACTCTCCTCCTTCCTCTCTTCATCCTCGCATTCCTCAAGCCGCGTCTCCACCGACCTCAGCTCCACCTCCTTCCTCCGCACCTCCTCCTCGCGCTCCTCGACCCTCCGCCGCGCCGACCGCAGCCCCTCCTCCCGCTCCGCGAGCGACCTCTCGCCCTCGCGGAGCTCCTCGGCGCGGCGCTCGAGCGAGCTCCGGATGCCGTCGAAGCGCTCCTCCAGGTCCTTCCACTGGAGCGTGAACAAGAGGACGGAGGACGCCTGCGACTGCACTTGCTCGTACGTCTTGAAAAGGGCCTGCTTCTGCAGCTCCGCCCGCTTCATCTCGCCGGAGAATTTCTCCATCGAAGCACCGACGCCAGAAACCACACACGCCCCCCCAGTAGAAAAACAAACAAACCCACCTACAGACTTAAGAGTTCTACGAGGGAGCGTAACGTAAAACCCACACGACGAGGATCGAGGACGAACCTGACGAACCTGCAGTTTTGAGGGAGCTGCGTCGAGAGCGAGTGTGTTATTGGAGTTGGTGTTTGAACGACGAGAAGGAGAACGATAGTTCGGAGATGACGCATGGTTACCAGGTGGGGACTGCTACCGTTACCGGACAGTGTTATTCTAATGGGTGAAGGAATGGCCTTTTCGAGCTTGTCACGTGAGGAGAGAGGACTGCGTGCGCTCGTCTGCCCCCGTCCTCTTTGGATTTTTTGCCGCCCTTTTTTGGGTATGCGCAAGAGCTTATAGTACAATCGCTCCAAAGGCTGATGGATTCCCGGTCCGGTTCAATTTCAACGTGAAATCGGGAACCGGTTTCGAATTAGAAACCGGAAATCGGATTGATTGGTCCTAGGATTGGGACCATCGGTCCGGTTCGGTTTCGGCTCGATCCAATGAAACTGGTCACTTTTTTTTTTTCGTTCTACTTGATACCATATATTTTGAAACTAGAATTGTATTCTTCATGCTGACTACACATAATCAGAAAAATAAGTGTGCAATTCGAACCAATGCGATGACGAATTGTGTTTTCCATGCTGACTACACATATATTATGAAATTAGAATTATATTCTCCATACCGCTACACATAATCACAAAAAAAAGTATATGTAGTCGGTCCAAGACCCGAACCGCCCGAATACTGATTCCACTTTTAGGAACCGTGAACTAGACTGACACTTCCAGTAACCGAACCAAACAGGCCGGTTCGGTCCAGCTCGGGCTATTCCCGATTTGTAGGGGTGATCGGTTCCAGAGTGGGTTGGTCCAAACTTGGAACCTAAAACCAACCCACCTTGAAACCTAAAACCAACCTTGTTATAACCGGTTCTCAATTTTTGGAACATAAAACATACCCTGTTTTCCTTGGACCTTGTTTTGAAACCGACCCTGTTTTTCCGGTCCGGTTTTAGGGTCTACCTGAGAACCTTTTTTTATTTATTCATTTTTCTGTTTTCATTTGTTTCCAGCAAAATAATATAGGTAGTAATGAAACGATTTAAAATCAAAGATCTACAGGATCGGCGAGCCAAAAAGGCGGAAAAAACACACACACGGTACGGACGCCGAGATGACCGAACCCTAGCCCTCTTCAACATGCAGGCAGGTGACGAGATGGGTTGCGTTCTTACGGCGACTGAGGAGGCGCATGCGAAGAGAGAAACCGTGAGAGACAGAGGAGGTCACGAAGAGAGAAGAGAGAAACCGTGAGAGACAGACTGGGTAGCCGAATAGGGTAACGTGATCAAGGTTTTTTACTTTTTTTTACATTATTTCAAAACCGGTTCTAAAACAGGTCCGGGTCGATTTTTACTTGGAATTGGAAACCGGACCAGTTATAACCGGTTCCCAAAAAATGGAACCAGTTCCCGGACCGGTTCTTATTAGTACCGGTTCCCAGACCTGTTTTTCGGCTAGGTCGGTCCGGTTTCCGGGTAAACCCGGTCCGATTGCACACCCCTACCGATTTGAGTAATCCATTTTGCACACCTCTAGTCGCTGTTTCAGGTGGGTTTTGCGAGTGCCGAGTGTTACGTGACGGACCAAGGAAGCCTTGGCTTTGTCGGACTGTCACGTGCGGAGTGAGAAAGGCGTGCACGATGCAATGAGGAATGCGCATAGGCAAGGACTAAATACGCTTGTCGCAGAAAATGGGTGACGTGGATATTTTCTCTCGCCCAATGGATGAAAAAGAAATGACGTGGCAAACTATGTCTTGATGGAAGAATTCGCCCCAATTTGAGGATTTTTTTTTGGGTGGAACTTCTGCTTTCTTTCTGATGTAAAACTTCGGCCTTTTTCTCATGTGTCGCACGAGACGGAAGGCAATCGGGGTAGCATTCACAAGTCGTTGACACGAGGGCATCGAATCGAGGGCGCAGGCGAAACTCATCGTGCCCGAAATGCGTCGCAAGTTGTTCGATGCTCCCGGCATCCTCTTGCTTGGGGTCGTGCTACCCGGCGGCCTGTTGCTTGAATTTCCTATCGGTTTAATGCACATCATGAAGGACAAAAGAATTCAAGAGAGAGCCTCTTGATAGGTGTGTTGTCGCTTCTAGATATTATACCATCAGTCCAATCGGTCCGGACGAGCCAGTTTATTTGGGTCAGGCCAGAATGCTGAGTCCGTGATATGAAACCCGAAGAGCAAAACTTCCTCGAGGGAAGTTAGCGTTGACGAAAAGCATGGAGAGAGAATCCAGCAAGAGTGATCCGTAGGGAGGTGAACATCGACATCTTCATGCACGGTTGGTTGTACATCTTAGGCCAATGTCGGAAGAAACTCTGGATGAAGGGTAAGATGGAGCTCGAATTCCTGATGAAGAGGCTCTAAAGCCAGAAGAATAGCCAACTTTGGACTTGTGACTGCCTTCTTTCTCTATCTCTAATGCTTTATCTTAGATTCTCTACTCTTTTTGCGCAAACATCACGTAATAATCTTGTTAAAGAGCAAAGGCTATCAATGAAGCACATAGGATACTGTCTCAAGTTTAGCAGATCGACATGTGACCCTCAGTTAAACTCACATTAGTCTATAAATCCGGTGGTGTAAATACTTGGTCTTCTGAACCCACACGAGGAATTTTCTTATGATCCGCCAATAAACTAATAAGACTAAGAGCATATAAGGCATTCCCGAGTCCAAAGATATGAGTAGAAGCGAGCTACCATAAAACGCAGACATACAAAAATATCAGGGAAGTGGATTTCTTCAACTTACATGGTCAAGTAATGCATATGCGAAACTCATTATTGCCCCACAAATCCTTTGGCGCAGCTGCCGTATTTGATCAGTTCAGGGCAGCGCAAGACGCAACTTACTATGTATGCTACATGGCACCTATCATGAAAATAAGGCGTGTACACAATCGGATACTACGCATACGATTTACATAATGACTTCTGCAAAATATCTAAAGATTTTAAAAGGGTACCACAAATTCAAAAGTACATGTTAGGCAAACAATTAAGGAAATTCTATAGTCTCTAGGGCAACGATTGCCTTCGTAATATGCACGATCAATACCTTGAAAATTAAATTATTTCAAATAAATTATACTTGACAAGTACCCCTGCTCTTTAAGAATACTTATACGCATACCTTAAACCTAAGTAAAGCTTTATAATCTACAAATCCTACAGGGTCAAAAGTGCGTCAAGTCAGTATAAAGAATAAAAGGAAAACCATCAATATGATGCACCATAAACTTAAGTCGGCCATGGGTCGAGGTTGCAGATATAGAATTACTATTTCAGGTATGTATTTAAGGTACTAATACATTCAAATTTCAATCTACAGACTGGATTTTATCAATTAAGTACTTCCACCCTCCATGACTCCATATGGATGTTATATAGGAGATCCATTTCCACTTAGGTTGGCCCATGAAAATGTAACAAATTGCTTGCAAATATACATATGGCAGTTGTAGTTAGACATCTGTATGAGAACTACACCATATTTCCTTATCCCTTAAAATCAAATGCAATACAGAAAGCATGAGATCTGCCTGACAGAATTCAAGTTACAATGTACAATTCTCGACAAGTCCTAAGAGATGGTTAAAAAAATTTATCACACTACAGGAAAGGGAGTATCCAGGATACTTACCCTGAAACTTGCAACCAACAAACGTTCTCTTTATGTGACTAGTCTCTCATGAATCAGCTTGGACCAACATGATTCAGGTTCAGTAAGTCCTTCAAATCTTGCCTTGATTTCCACAAATCGCTTACCATGTTCAATGTCACCAAAAAACAAAGGCTAGGGAAGAGAGCTTAATCTCAATCACTCTGTCCTGAAGTGCTCATCAGGCCTTTATGCGAACAACAAATGAGCCTGTTTATTCATATGAAGAGTAGAACAGGTGAGCATTACACCAAGTGATAGCAGATCCCAGTGCAGCAAATATAGCATAACACCTCAAATAACATATTTAAATAAAATGACAAACAACAAACCACAAAATTGGGAAGCTGGATAATGGAAAGCAAAATAAATATGATCCTAGTATACATAGGATTAAAAGAAAGGTCCAGATAGACTAGAGAACGCAAGAAATGCTATTTCTTAGCTCTGCCATCAACATATTCAAGGTCAGCATCTCATGGTCCTTATTACCATAAAATGCCAGTGGTATTACTGTGGAAGCAACCTTCAATAAATTCATAGTTTTATTCAACATTTTCCTGACTAAAACTCTTAAGGTACTTCCAACTGCCTGTTGCGACTAGTCTCAACTTTCATTAATCATTTATGTTCTTTTTTTTTTTTTTGACATAGACTGAGTCAAACAAAACTAAAATCATATGTGATCTAGGCGGCTAATAGCTAACTGCATGCATCATCTTTCACCCAGAAAGAATATCCAAAGGCCTGCACATCAAACAAATGTTGTATATGATTGCACTTGAAAGGTAACTGCTCCCACATAATATAAAGACACTGATGCAGAACAGAAGGGTTTACACAGATAATAAATTCATCTGACCACAAAGTAAAGAAAATTCATACATCACAAGCTTGCTAATTTCTGTTTTTGAGTGTCAGTGGGTGTTATCAGGAACTCCCAGATAAAGTCATTGTATGATACCAATGTATCATATTAGGTCGTAAAAGTTTCTACAGGAGTTGGAGATCAGTATTTCTAAGCATCAAATTATCTCCTGCAGATTCTCATGGAAACTAGCAAGTCCTTAAAGAACATTGTTTATACTGCGGCACAGTAAGGAAGAGCTGAGAGAAAACTGGGAAGAACTAAATAAACTTTTTGATAGGTCTTGCTTACAGATACTGCAGGGAAAGAGAAAAGATTCAACCTTTAGGATGTTTTTTGGAGAGCATATACTGCAATTTGGTAAAGAATGCCGCAAAATACTGGAAAATGAAATTTAGTAATAAGAACCTGATATGCAGAATGACCACTAAACTACAACACCACTGCAAAGGATAGAAATAATAATTAGGAAGCTATCTAATTGTAGCAAAAAAAAACATGTCTGACAGATTCATGAATATACAAGGAACCCACCAGAGTTTCTATGTCAGCATCATGTCAAACAAGTCCATGTAGAGATAGTGATCCATTTTCCCAATAAGGTCCAAGTTAAGATCAGAGTTTTTACTTTAGTGCATGGAAGTTTAAAGAACCCCAGTAGAATGACATATCGACTAGAGGAGTAGCGGGGAAACTAACTCATGAAAAACAACACAGCGGTGATGCTAGAGTTAGATATCGAGTCCCGCCGTTGGCTCAACTTCACCTTAGTTATCAAAGTCAACAACCAACTTTGAGCAGTTATTTGAAGTCAAGCCAATGGTTCAACAGATTTGTAACTGACCCTAAAGGAAGCTAAGAGAGGATCACGGGGTTTATGCAGTTGGCCAACAGACAAGAAATGCATATGCTGAAAAAAGGCCAACAGAAAGAGAGAAAGAAAGGCACCAAACATGTACCTTACTGAAAGAATGTTAATAACGTTAGATAAAGTTGACTACTTACATGCAGGGAGATTGGAAATATCCGCTGAAACAGCACAAGGAATCCCCAAGTTTGAAAGAGCCCCTCTTATGATTCCACAAGGGAAATAGAGATGCATGCTCATTGCTTCTGTTGCCTTGTTGTCACCCTCTTGACCCGTTTCAAGTGTTGGCTCGACGGACATGCGAGAAAGCCAACGGAAACGATTATCTTGCAGCACAAATGTACCCTACAAGACAAACATGATATAAGCCATTGATATTCAACAAACAACACTATCCATGAGATACAGTGCGAGTAAGGGATTCAGAAAGTTCCAATACTCTATGATTAGTCTTCAAATTATCGATCTGTTTCTTGAAAACCTCCGACCAAAAGTCCTTGCATATGAACTTGATTGCTTCCAAATGATCACTGAAACGAGGTCGCTCCATGGTGTACCTATTAGCCAGAAGTACAACCACTTAAGCCACATTTCCAGCAAGAAACGCAAGTACTCAGCACATGGCGAGAGATCAGCTGTCAAATCCACACTACCCAACACAAACTTCGAGCAAATTAATACTAACTCAGGAACCACCTCCTTTTCTCATACAACTAAACCATCAACGAGAACACCGAATCCTCACTCAAGTGCCCAGATCTAAGGCCTCAAATTGCAGAATCACGACAAAAACACCAATTCACTGACAATCGATTCAGCACCCTACGCACCGAAGCAGACACCCAGAAAGAAAATGCGGCTTTCGACACTCGATCTCACGATGAATCTCAACACATCATCAGCTTGAGCACACAGAGCCAGAAGGAAACCACAAATCAGCACACGGACACATCAACGCATCGCGAACAGGGTAAGCTAACACACTGCGATAGGAATTACGAGGAACGATCAGAAAGGGTTTCAAAAAAACTCAGGATCGGAGGTCAAACTCGACGACCCAGTTGAACCAATCAGCGGGGGAAAGGGAGGAACCGATCAAGACCGCACCTTTCGGAGAGCTGATGGCCGACCTGATAGCCGATGGCCTCGATCCTGCGAGCGGCGAGCTCGGGCTTGTCGGCGTAAAAGCGATTGCAGTAGGAAGACACCATTTCGGTCAGGAGGCTGTCTATGCAGCTCTCTGAAACCTCCCGCCCCATCCTCTCTCTCTCTCTCTCTCTCTCTCTCGCTGCGCGCTGGGGAAGACGAAGGGTCGAAGACGACGACGAGCTTCTTCGTCTTCAATGGGGTCGAAGTTTAGTCTTTGGGCTGGGCTCGTAGAGGTTGGAGTTATAACATTTTCTTTACTTTATTAACGTATTTACCTTCCACCCAAAAGAGGCAACATATTTACCGACGTAAATTTTAAGAGTTAAGTGCATTCGAAGTCATAAAACTTGTGATGAAAGCACAATTGAGTCCTAAGATTTTCAGAAAGTGTAATCGAGTTCTAAAATTTATTGCTGAAGGACTTGATTAGATCAATTTGGCAAGTTTTAGGACTTGACTGCACTTTTGAAAAGTTTTAGGACTCAATTGCACTTTTGTGATAAGTTGTTTAGGACTTGATTGCACTTTTTGAAAGTTTTTTAGGGCTCGATTGCATTTTTTCAAAGTTTTAGGATTCAATTATACTTTCATGACAAGTTTTAGGACTTTCAGTGCACTTATCCCTAAAATTAATGTTCACATGCTAAACCCTATTTCACTGTTTGACAAAAAAAAAAAGAAAAAACCTATTTCATTGATTTAATAGAGACTCCGATCGATTTTAATTCAATAATTCTTGAATTTTCGATATTAATTGATTCGATCCCGCATTGAAGAAACTCGTCATTTTAATAGAGAGATACATGTTTGCTATATTCGGATAAGGTAACTTCAATACGACTAGAGGTGGCAAATGGATGGGTTTGGATGGGTTCCGCCCAAATTCAACCATTTAACTCACATTGACTTATATATTTTCTGACAATTTATATGACACATACCCAGCCCATCCAGATCCTACCCAAACCTAACCACATAGCTCTTTGTTTTTAAACTCTTGCTCCGTGCATGTGAGGTTGTAGAGAGAGAAAGCTAGAGAGAGAGAGAGAGTCTCTCTTTATATGGGTGAAGGAGACGGTGTGTTGTAGAGATTGCAACTTAAATGATGAACAAGCCCTCCTCCTAAATGGCCTAAAACCATTCCCCTCCTCTGCCATTAATCGGTGCATGTAAGCGCTGAAACTGATATCGCTTCTGTTCGAAGCTGCTTCCGGTTTTGCGCTTTTCCTTCTACTTTTTACGTTTTGTCCTTGTTGCTGTGTCTCTGGAGGTACTGATACGATACTCTATTTTTCTGGGTCCGTTTGCCTTTGTGTCGGCTGTAGTTGGAGACAAATCCGCGCCTATTTCCCGCGCTCCTTCACCCAGGTCCAGCCCCACCCGCTGGACATATCCGAGCTCCTTTGCTTCGTCAAGGACCTCCATGAGCCTAGTCACTCCTCGAGCACGAGGTTGTACGATAGATAGCGTCCCTTGTCCCGGTGCTCAAGGGCGTGATCTACTCCAAGATCACAGAGATTGCCAAATCGGTGAAGCGGATTGAAGAACTTGAAGCGTCGAACAAGGGGCTGAGGCGCGAACCAGAGGTATTCGAAGCTTGGTTCGAGGAACATAAAGCAATGAATCTCGAGCGAAGAGAGAGTGAAGAGGGTGAGAGACTGAGAAAGAAGAGAGTCTGAGCCGCAGTGGGTTGAAAATTAGTTCATTTCAGAAACTATTTAAACCTATTTATGTAAGACTTTAAATTATTGAATCCAATATAGTTAGGATCTTCAAATTTGAAATGACTCATATATAACCTTTTCCAACAAGTTCGGATCATATATAGATTTATAACCCATTTTGATAGGTCCAAGACACATGATTAACGGTAAAAGAAATTAGGGCGTGTGCACAAATAATAGGAGGACTCAAAACACAATATAGAAGCCAATTCGATTGTTGTTGAAGATATAATCAAGCTATTACCACCTTTATTGAAGCAAATACTAAGCAAACAAAACAAGTAAATTCAGCAAGCATTTTGCTTCTAATTCCCGAGGGCAGTTTCATCCTCGCTTTAGCCCTTAATCCGCCATGCAGCCGCAGATGCACCGGCCTTCGATGCACTTGTTTCCGAGGCATCCATCGCACAATCTAAAGCACTCTGCCGCTGATTGGCATACGCCTGCCTTTATTTCTGTCAAATCTCTTGCTTTTGTCGCAAGCATCAAGCCTATGTGTATACATAGTTCAGCATGAAAACTATTTCCTTCTCGTGATTGAAAAAAATATAAAAACAAGAAGAGGCACGTTTCATGAGACAGGCTTACATGATGATAAGAGCACGAGGGTCACCAAGAAAGCCAAAGAGAGAGAAGCTCTTTTCATTTCTCTTGTATGGATGCAGCCGATTCTTTCTGGACTGTATTACTCTGATTGCTTTGTGACAGAATAGAGAGAGGGAATCTATATATACATGACATGAGTATTTTGATTTGGCAAATCAAGAACGGAAATGACATGTTAATGTTTCTTTATTGGGGTCATTGCATGCAAGGAAGCAAATCCTTCTTTTGGGAAGAGCTCCATTGATATAGTTAGGTCATCAATGATTTTGCTATGTCATTCAGAAATTATGGGGTATATACATAATGTCAACCTGATCGTTTCTATAATAATGAGATTTCCTATATAGCTTACGGGATTACTTGTCATTAGTTCTTAGTTCTGGAGAAAGGTGATTGCTATAGTTCATGACGCTTCACATGGCAATGTGTTACTGATTATAATACTTAAGGAAAAGCATTTTTTCGATCACTTGAATTCTATAATTTATGTGCGGCGCCCACTTGAGGCTATAACTTTTTTCTAATCACTTGAGTGCATATAACTTTTCAATTGATGACTTGAATGCTATAAATTTTTTAAAATGTTCCCCACAAGTGCAATGTCACATCGGATTTCTAGCAATTGGGTAAGTGATCGATGGAAAGTTTTGCACTCAAGTGAACGCTGTATAAAAGTCATGACGTTTGTGGTGTCCTTATCCCAAATATCTAGGATTCTAACAAAACTATGTCAAGTTTCTATACCTTTTATCTTCCCATTGGTAGTTGTGTCGATTAATCATTCTCATGTTAATCATTACCTCCCATTAGGAAAAGAAATCCACTAATTAGGGGCCTTTGCCCGGTTGCTCTTGATGTTGGCTAGCAATAATGATATTGAGATCTGATAGACTTGACAAGTTGCATACCAAAGTGATTTCTATAATGCTGGATTGATGGCCTCCGCCTTAATCTTTCCTTGATCATCGGAAAATCATTCTTGATCTACATTCCCTTTTTAGAGCCAAGGCCGGATTTATTGTAGTATGGGATCTGTATGAACAGGACTTGTGTCCATCCTCTCTATTTCGCCCGAAAGGGAAAAGAGTGAGGTTTAGGGGTATTGCCTAAAGGTAGGCCAAATGACATCAATTTGGAGCGGGCCCTCCTAAGCCCATACCTCAGGCGACGTTGGATTTCTTTTTAGTTCTTTAAACCTAAAGATTTCTAGATGTCGCCACTAGTCTTTTTAGGGTTGGCCAAAAACCAAGCGAGATGTGAGAGTTTTGTCTCACTTACTACACAATTAGAATTTCTAAGTTCCGAGACTTGATTATGCTAATAGTATAATTAGTGCCTTTTCGGTACTTCTAATTTGGCGGGATTGTTCATCTAAGTGATCAAACATTATTTGTTACCAATTAGGATCCTAAAGGTCTTTCAAAGCCACTAAAATGTTCATCCAATTGTCCTTAGGAGTTTATTATGATCCTAAGGGTTGTCCTAACTATCCTAAAAAGGAAAAGAGTAGACAATGTATTTAAATTGCAGGAATTAAACACCCAACTATTGAAAGCTTATAGTAAAATGCGGAAATGAAAATCCAATGTTATGTCGGGAAAGAATATTACACGACCATGTTATTAAACCCTGGGACAGTACCCCATGAGCTGAATTAAAAGTCAAATGTACGTCTAATTCCAAACTAAAGAGACTTACCCACCGAATGATAAACATTAAACGAAAACTGACTAAACGTTTACTTAATGCCAACTAAACATGCAAAATACATAAGGACGACTCAACAGCCTAAAAGAACATCTCAGGTTCACAGTCAAACAACTAAGATTATCCCGAGGGAAAAGTGCCGAAAAAGTCCTAAACCTTTTGCATTAGTGCCAATTTAGTCCTAAATCTTTTGCATTGATGCCAATTCAGTCCTAAACCTTTTTTTGATGTAAATTCAGTCTTAAACTTTTTGCATTAATGCCAATTCGGTCCTAAACCTTTTTGTCTTTGTGCCAATTCAATCATTTCGGCCAATTTTGGCTGGATTTTGCTGACGTGGACGTTGGCCGGTCACCAGCACTAACGTGGATAACTTTTAATAATATTTTAATATTTTTTTGAATTTTTATTTATTCTTTTATTCTTTTCTTTTCTTTTCTTTTTCCCTCCCTCCAGCCGGTCGTCGGACCGGCGACCGACCAGAGGCCAGAGGCCGGCGAGGTCAACCTCGCTGGCCACTGGCGAGGTCAACCCTGGCAGCCACTGGCGAGGCATGACCTCACCAGATCCAGCGAGGTCGTGCCTCACCCAGCCATGGCGAGGCTCACCTTCGCCGTGGCGGGCGAGGGCGAGCCTCGCCAGTGGCCGGCGGGGTCGACCTCGCTAGCCTCTAGCCGGTCGCCAGTTCGGCGACCTATTGGAGGAAGGAGGGAGGTAGCGAAAAAAAAGAAAATAAATAAAAATTCAAAAAAATATTAAAATATTATTAAAAGTTGTCCACGTCAGCGCCGGTGATTGGCCGGCCGGCGTCCATGTCAGCAAAATTTGGCCAAAATTGATCGGAAGAACTGAATTGGCACAAAGACAAAAAGGTTTAAGACTGAATTGACACAAATACAAAAGGTTTATGACTGAATTGGCACAAATACAAAAGGTTTATGACTGAATTGACATAAAAAAAAAAGGATTAGGACTAAATTGGCATAAATGCAAAAGGTTTAGGACTGAATTGACACCAAAAAAAGGTATAAGACTATATTGACACAAATACAAAAGGTTTAGGACTTTTTTGGCATTTTTCCCATCATCACGACATATTATTTGATTAAAAAGGAGACCAATGCCCGCTGGCCATAACTTGGACACCGACAAATGACATTTAGGGTGTGCATGGCAACGATTTTGTGCCCGGGAACTGATTCTTCTCAGAAATGATTCTTTTTGATTCTGTGCTCGGGAACTGATTCTGAGCATTTGAAGGCATTTGGTAATGGTTTAAAGTTTCCGTTCCTGGAATAAAAAAAAAACAGAAATGCATTTGATAACAGCACAAAATTTCTTTTTATTAATAATATTTTTAAATAATTTAATATGTCCTTCTTTCTTTTTTCTTTTTTCTTTTTTTCTTCTCCTCCTTCTCGGCCATGGCCTGGTCGCCGACCATGTCGCCAGCCACAAGCCAGGGCCGACGAGGGCGTCGCGGCCCTCGTCGACCACAGGCGAGGGCAAGGGCTAGACCCTCGCGGCCTAGGCGACCCTCGCCGGCCTTTTCCAGCCCTCACCCGAGCTGGTGAGGGCCACCCTCGAGGCTCGCGGCCTGGGCGAGGGCTGGATTTTCGCCGCCGCCCTCACCAGATCCGGCAAGGGCGGCCCTTGCCAGCCCGGGCGAGGGCCGCCCTTGTCGGATCCGTCAAGGGTGACCCTCGCCCAGGTCGTGAGGGTCCAGCCCTCGCCGGATCCAGCGAGGCCCACGATGCTCTCGCCTGTGTCGCCAATCGCCGGAGAATGAAGAAGAAGAACAACAACAAAAAGAACGTGAAAGAAGAAGAAGAAAAAATAATAATTTCTTTTCCAATTCTGATTCTTGTTCCTAAAATCAAGAATTTACTTTTTTTTTCTTCTTGATTCTGGGACAAAACTGATTCTGGGAACAATTTTTTGCAAATTTATGCCCAGGCACAAAAATTTTAACAAACGGATTTCTATTCTCAAGCTGATTTTGGAAAAAAAAAATAGAAATTTTCACAATTTGGTAACTTACCAAACGAGTCCTTATTAATGCATGAAAATGGGTCCAAACTTGTTCGAAATGATGAGAGACTAACAGCATGTTAACATACTATCATGAGTCAAAAGGGACGTCCAATCAAAGCTAAAACCTATCAAGCGTTCAAGCTTAATCAAGACCGACAAGCAAGCATCCAGCGAACATGGACCATATTCCGTGTCGCAAGAGGTGTCGATCATGGTGAAGCAATAGCAAATCGGCCACACATCAAAATATCATCCCGACTGACCCGAACAACATTTAAGTGAAGTCAAGATCCACCTGCTTCCGGCTTAACTAACACAGACCAGCAAGTAACCATGAAGGTAGTCCATGCGAAGAAGAAGTACCGAAATGCATGAATACAGCGTAGAGTAATGACAACAAAACTGCAACCTAGTTGCGAAAGTGTTCACAGCATGGTCCCCGCTTTAACGGAACACATTTTTAAATATAACCTCACAGAGTATACTATGTAATTGAGAACACATGCATAATCAAACCACCACACAATCTCACATGCGCCACTTATGCACTCCTCCACGACTCCTCCACATGAACATACACATGGATGCGAACAGACACAAGCAAACACTCTTCATAAAAAATAACAGAGATAATTATGCATGGCTTTTTATTTTACGAAGAAAAATCAAGCGGTGATTTGATTATTTAACAAAACAGAACATGACCCATATCATCTTGACCCAAAAGTGACATAACTTGTGTACTTAAATAATTTTTTTCCAACGTGTACAGTCAGCATTTTTTATTTTAAATAATTTTGTTCCTTTTTTTTTTTTCCTCTTCTTTCCTTTTTCCTTTCTTTTCTTTTTTTTCTTTTCTCCCCTCGCCGGCCGGCCACCGGCGAAGCCCGGGAAGGCCTGGGCTAGGGCGGCCTTGCCCATGGCCGGCGAGGGGCGTCCTCGCCAGATCTAGGCAAGGCGACCCTCGCCGGCGACAGGCGAGGCTGCCCCAGGCGAGGGCTGCCCTCGCCGGATCTGGCGAGGGCGACCCTCGCCGGCGTCGGGCGAGGGAAGCCCTCACCTGGGTGGGCGAGGGTCGCCCTCGCGGGAGTCGGGCGTGGACGACCCTCGCCCGCCCAGGCGAGGGCTTCCCTCGCCAGATGCCGGCGAGGGTCGCCCTCGCCAGATCCGGCGAGGGCAGCCCTCGCCTAGGGCGGCCTCGCCTGTCGCCGGCGAGGGTCGCCTCGCCCAGATCTGGTGAGGCCGCCCCTCGCCGGCCATGGGCAAGGTCGGATCTGGCGAGGGCAGCCCTCGCCTGGGGCGGCCTCGCCTATCGCCAGCGAGGGTCGCCTCGCCCAGATCTGGCG